TACAAATCCACCCACTCATGAATATTAATGAGGGGGGGGGGTGGGCCTCATGTGGTGTGACGTCACGCGGGGGGGTGGGCCTCATGTAGAGTGACGTCACGCGCGGGACACACATTCTTGGCACATAATATTAGTAATGTGTTGATTCATCTCGGCCAGGAGAAATGTTGTAGTCTAGAGTACTGAGGATTTTTATTCACTCGAAGATGTTATCTTTATAACACGGTAGATTACCGCACTCTGCTGCACACATCAAAACTACTGTCAAACCACTGCTGGATGAGGTCCTCAAACGTGTCTTGTGGACATGTTAGCGAAAGTTCACCACACTGTGTGGTCCGTGCGGATTGATGCTGGTGTGGGTTGGGGAGAGAACAATACAGTATTTATAGTATGAGACCTCCTTTGCCAGTAACAAGATATGCTCTGATAGTGCGCTGTTTTTGAGTTGTACGCCTTTTGGCGTCTTCTGGTCCAACACCAGTGGAGACTAGGCTCTAAGAAAAGCCGTCTATGGTGTGGACCAATCAAATTCAAGGACAGTGCATATTATTATCAGAGTTGTCTCTTTTGTTTGCATTTTGACTGCTTGTGTTGTGGTTATTGCAAACATGATGCCTTGAATAAAGGTGTCAGTTTTTGTGCCAGTTAAAAGGGTAAAACCTATTCCCAATACAGTAATTATTTATGCAACTGCCCTCTACTGCCCACACAGCCTATTGCACCCTCTATCTCTTGCATTCTGGTCATCCTTCCAGGCAAATATCCAAGCTGAATTCACTCTGCGTAACTTCTAAAGTCTGACAAGATGGGAGTGAATACCGTGTTTTATTTGGTCACAGGTAACTGTTACAGTACAGCAAATGTATGTACACGAATCATCATCCAATGAACCACAATTCGTGTTTTCTTCAACTTTCAGGAATGCGTCTTCCTGTTGATACACAGGAATTGCCATCAGCCGAGATTACATTGCGGTGCCACACATATCAAAGAGTGGATTCATTATTGTACTTTCTGCACAAGGGTAAATTTGAACAACTTGCACGGTCACTAGTTTGTTATTAAAAAAAAATATTTTAGGCAGACGTAAACATAGCAGTTACTTGTACACACAACAATCCCCAGACCATATCAATCTCATTGTGCAGACAAAAACAAGCCCACCAACACGCACACAAGTGCACGCACGCACCACACACAGAACATTTGTAGCAACAACGAAAACAACTTTGGTGTGCACGGTTAAATTGACCAGAATGGATACACGCCACAGTTCGGATACGTGACGTTGTGTGTGTGTTACTGCAACTGCAAATTAACACTTACGACTGGTGTCGCCGGTTCACGCACTCTCTAACACTTGGGATAAAAGTCCCCAAACTGCGCGTGTAACCCAGGGCACACAGCACACCACACAGCACACCACACAGCACACCACACAGCACACCACACAGCACACTTCGCACGTGCTACGCGCGCGGCTCACAAAGGGGACACCCAAACACGCGGGTGCCATTCGCTGGCCCCGAGCTACGCACACCGCCCGCGCGGTGCAAAGTGCACAACAGTGAAAGAAGGGTCCATTCGTGGTGGTTAACAAACAACAACAAATGTTGGGGGGGGGCAGTGGAGGGCAACCCCTAGTGGCTAGGCAGAGTACAGGGACGTCAACCCCTAGTGGCTAGGCAGAGTACAGGGAGGACAACCCCTAGTGGCTAGGCAGAGTTCAGGGAGGTCAACCCCTAGTGGCTAGGCAGAGTACAGGGACGTCAACCCCTAGTGGCTAGGCAAAGTACAGGGAGGACAACCCCTAGTGGCTAGGCAGAGTTCAGGGAGGACAACCCCTAGTGGCTAGGCAGAGTTTAGGGAGGTCAACCCCTAGTGGCTAGGCAGAGTTCAGGGAGGTCAACCCCTAGTGGCTAGGCAGAGTTTAGGGAGGTCAACCCCTAGTGGCTAGGCAGAGTACAGGGAGGACAACCCCTAGTGGCTAGGCAGAGTTCAGGGAGGTCAACCCCTAGTGGCTAGGCAGAGTTTAGGGAGGTCAACCCCTAGTGGCTAGACAGAGTTCAGGGAGCTCAACCCCTAGTGGCTAGGCAGAGTTCAGGGAGGACAACCCCTAGTGGCTAGGCAGAGTACAGGGACGTCAACCCCTAGTGGCTAGGCAGAGTTCAGGGAGGACAACCCCTAGTGGCTAGGCAGAGTTCAGGGAGGTCAACCCCTAGTGGCTAGGCAGAGTTCAGGGAGGACAACCCCTAGTGGCTAGGCAGAGTTCAGGGAGGACAACCCCTAGTGGCTAGGCAGAGTTCAGGGAGGTCAACCCCTAGTGGCTAGGCAGAGTTCAGGGAGCTCAACCCCTAGTGGCTAGGCAGAGTTCAGGGAGGACAACCCCTAGTGGCTAGGCAGAGTTCAGGGAGGTCAACCCCTAGTGGCTAGGCAGAGTACAGGGAGGACAACCCCTAGTGGCTAGGCAGAGTTCAGGGAGGTCAACCCCAAGTGGCTAGGCAGAGTTCAGGGAGGACAACCCCTAGTGGCTAGGCAGAGTTCAGGGAGGACAACCCCTAGTGGCTAGGCAGAGTTCAGGGAGGTCAACCCCTAGTGGCTAGGCAGAGTTCAGGGACGTCAACCCCTAGTGGCTAGGCAGAGTTCAGGGAGGGCAACCCCTAGTGGCTAGGCAGAGTTCAGGGAGGTCAACCCCTAGTGGCTAGGCAGAGTTCAGGGAGGTCAACCCCTAGTGGCTAGGCAGAGTTCAGGGAGGACAACCCCTAGTGGCTAGGCAGAGTTCAGGGAGGGCAACCCCTAGTGGCTAGGCAGAGTTCAGGGAGGTCAACCCCTAGTGGCTAGGCAGAGTTCAGGGAGGACAACCCCTAGTGGCTAGGCAGAGTTCAGGGAGGTCAACCCCTAGTGGCTAGGCAGAGTTCAGGGAGGTCAACCCCTAGTGGCTAGGCAGAGTTCAGGGAGGTCAACCCCTAGTGGCTAGGCAGAGTCCAGGGAGGGCAACCCACTCCGGGGGTGGCATTGTCCCTGCAGACAGCTACAGCAGCAGCAGCAGCACGAACCACCCATCCAGTGTAGGCGGTGTAACGCTTGCAAATAGGTGCAACGTGGTGCGCACGTGTCTTACACTCATTGTTCAACAACTCATTGTGCAACGTGTTACACTGTGCTGCGTTGGCAGCGGCACACACACGCACGAACTACACCAACACGAAATCTAAAAACACGTTTGTCGAGAACGATGTCCTGTTTTGAAGAAGGGCAGTTGCCAGAAACGTCGGCCTATTTCATTTTTCAATCGTCTTCGGGGGCGGTGTTATTCGCAAGGGGGTGACTTTTTTCGTGGCACACAATGTGACAAGCACATCGTACACAGCTCAGAACATGAGGGTATACTGTACATTACAGTTTAACACATTTAACATAAAGCAGAGCCGTACACAACGAACACAACACATCACTGTATAATACAGTGCTGTAGTGTACCTCTAATCACAATTGCATAAATTCAGCTGTGCTTTACACACACTCATACAGTTACTGTGCTGTACATAAACTCGCAGTACAGGCATTACACAATGCGTACTGTCCACAGAAAATACAATAAGTTAATAATCACCAACATCACAACTCATATAACACATACAGTACTGGAGTTTGCAGACTGAATTCACTACAGTATTCCTCTTTAACACAATCATTCACTTATAACGTACTGCTTTATACAAGACTGGATAAATCCTGTAACACACCAATGTAACACAATTGTACACAGCACTGTAATGTATACAGAGGTGGAGAAAGTATTTACTGTTAACTCGTGCAAATGCTCACATTTGAAACTGTTTCACACACGTGTAACTACGTCTATACGACACACACCTTTAACCGAATACACTAAAGTGTACAGAATTAGTTTTACAGTGCATTATGAACACACTCTAGATAGAGTACTTGCTATCCAGATGTATTAACACGGCATATTTAAAATGTAAACACAAAGACACACGTGCACATCATGCACAAGCCGATATTCACAATCGCAGTACAGTAAGTAACGTGTACATACACATGTTACACACTTAACACAGGCGTACACCTACACAGCAAATTCACATCATGTGCGTACAATTTAAGTTGTAAGTACACAGGTTATACTGTATGTTCATTAACAACACAGCACGTTCAGTGAGCACAATACACACAGATTCACAACTACAGTACTGTAGCTGCATGCATACATTACACATAGATTAGTATACACACACAGGTACCGTCATTGTATTGTATGCATAATTGTAATTGAGTTACATATATTGTACAATACCAATGCACATTCAAACAGTACACCACACACACACATCCCATATCCACACACACTGCAACTACATTCAAACTAATCGTATGTGCCGCACATGCTGTACACATACATTTACCACCAGTGTTAACATATACTGCATAGTATATTTACAACGCGGATTTCAGATGACAAGTACATGCATATAACAACACGTGCATTTAAATGCCCTGCCAAGTCACATATAGTATACACATTAACATACTGAGTACTCACGGAAATCTACAATCACTGCATGATCCATGTACACAGTCACACAACATCATTAACAACGTTGGTTTCAATTCACAGCCACGTGCATACACAACCACTTTGTATTTAAATGCCCAAACAAGCATACACACATACACACACACTCGCCAAGTGAGTACTACACACTTACACACACACGTACAATGCTACATCTACACACATCTCTAACCACAACACAGGCGGTGCACGCAACTCGCACCCGGCAACACAAACGTGACTGGCGCTCGCACATCGTTACACACATTCACATGTGTGACAGCATCACACACACGCACACACACACACGCACACAACCAATATCCACACACACAGACACACGCAGCGTGTTGGGGGGTGTTGGGGAGAGAGAGAGAATGTGCAACTACGACAGCGAGTGAAACGTATCGAAACTTACTTTTCTCTTGCTTGAGTGTCTGACGGCACCACGGCCGACTTCCCCTTGGCGTACATCGCGGAGGGAAGCCGGCGAGAGACGTCAAGAACTACTGAGATAGTCCTCCTCCTCCTACTCCTACCACCACTACCACCACCGTTATCGCGGGCACCTGTCAGGCCATTAAAATAAAAGCCACGGCGGCTGTAACCCCCCCGCCCCCCCCCCAAAAAAAGAACCCCCCCCCTAACCCCCCCCTCCCCCCCACTTTTACAACACTTAGCCAAGCCCCCCCCACTACTACCAGCAGCAGCGTGGCCCCCCACCACCACCCCCCCTTGCGCCCACCACCACCACCCAGCGACGGGCGAGGTGGTGGTGGTGGGGGCCGCACGGGAGACCGAGGCTGTGGTCTAGCAACCTGCCCAGCACCACCAGCAGCTTCTTCACTCTGCTACCGCTACTGCCGCTGCTCCTGTTGTTGTTGTTGTTGCTGTTGTTGTTTCTCTTTTTAAGATGTTCTTCTTGCCCGCCGCGCGTTGCGATGCGCTGCTAAACAAAGACGGCACACTCGGAGGTGCTTGCTGTTGCCTTCTCTCGGGTTTGTGATAGTTGTTGTTGGTGGTGGTGGGGGGGGTGTTGGTGTTGTTGTTGTTGCTGGTGGTTGTTTAAATTGTCTTGCCAAGATTTGTGTTGTTGCTGCTACTGCCGTGGCTGCTGCTGCTGCTGCCTTGCGTGTCTCTTTTTGTCTCTATTTTATTTTCTTGGCTGTGCACAGATATCAGTACCGAGCACTCACCCGCCCGCACGCCCTCCCCTCTCTCCTCTCTCTCGGACATGCCCAGCCTTCCCTACCCCTCACCACACACACACAATGCACACACACGCACACACACAATGCACACACACGCACACACACAATGCACACACACAATGCACACACACAATGCACACACACGCACACACACAATGCACACACGCACACCCAATGCACACACTGCACACACACAATGCACACACTGCACACACACAATGCACACACGCGCACACACACACACAATGCACACACACAATGCACACACACACAATGTACACACACACAATGCACACACACACAATGTACACACACACACAATGCACACACACGCGTAAAACACGCGCACCCATATACACACACGCGCGCACACAACACACTAATTATACACAATGAACACACACACGCATACACACACTAATTATGCACAATGAACACACACACTGCACACGCACACACACACACTAATTATGCACAATGAACACATACGCACACACACAATGCACACACACTAATTATGCACAAAGAACACACACACTGCACACACAGTAATTATGCACAAAGAACACACTGCACACACACACAATGCACACACACACAATGCACACACACACTGCACACGCGCACACAACACACTAATTATGCACAATGAACACACGTGTACACACACACACAATGAACACACGTGTACACACAATGAACACACACGTGTACACTCGCTGCGTTATATTCCCGCAGCTACTTAGATAAGCACGGTTTTACTACGTGCGGTGCGAAAGAAGTTCATTGAACATACATTGCACACGCGTTATACACATACACAATACACTCAGACACAATGCACTCATATACACAAACACATACACAATGCATATACACAAACTCATACACAATGCACTCAGACACAATGCACCCATATACACAAACACAATGCACTGCATACACAATGCACTCATACACAAACACATACACAATCCACTCATATACACAATACACTCATACATAAACACGTACACAATGCACTCAGACACAATACACTCATATACACAAACACACAATGCACTCAGACACAATACACTCATATACACAAACACATACACAATGCACTCAGACACAATACACTCATATACACAAACACACAATGCACTCAGACACAATACACTCATATACACAAACACATACACAATGCACTCAGACACAATACATTCATATACACAAACACATACACAATGCACTCAGACACAATACATTCATATACAAACACATACACAATGCATATACACAAACACATACACAATGTACTGCATACACAATGCACTCAGACACAATACATTCATATACACAAACACATACACAATGCACTCAGACACAATACATGCATATACAAACACATACACAATGCATATACACAAACACATACACAATGCACTGCATACACAATGCACTCAGACACAATGCACTCATCCACTGCACACACAAACACAATACACACATACACAATGTACTCGTACATAATGCACTCAGACACAATGTACTCATACATAATGCACACACACCACACACATACAGTACAAATCAGGACACTACAATAAATACAATGCACACGTACAATCATAACGCACATACACATAATGCACACACCACACATAAAACACTCTCACTAAATAAACAATAAACACACCACGCAAACCAATACACCCACAATGCATAAGATACACACCATATGTACTTATTACAATGCAAAACACACAATTCCCCACGCAAAAGGACCACGTTTACACTCACCGCAACACACACAATTGCACACACAACGATGTTGCAACAACGCCTTGGTCACTGCGTGTGAAGCCCTCTTATCCCCCAATAACCTACAAGCAGTACTCGACATACACACACACAACAACAACAACACAGCAACACCCCCTGCGATCGGGTACACAACACACGATTGACACAATCCTACACCATAACCACACTGCCCAACAATCACAAACCGGCACCAACTCCACACAAAATCAAAGTCGCTGCGGTTTCCCGCTCAGTCCAGCATGGGGCGGTGCTCGTCCGCTATTTATAGCCCTTTAACGTATGTGGAAATTCCGTATTCCTATGACGGGATCACGTCTGTCCGTAGGATAACCGCGAAATGGTACAACTTGATTGTTGTTGTTGTTGTTGATCCGTGAAGACCATGGATTGAGTCGAATCCCTGACCAGGAATTTAAATCTACACACAGCAAGGTCCACACACACACGCACACGTTGTAATAATGCATAGACTTCACAAACAGTATTTACACACACCAAGGGTATGATGTATGTGTACAATAAATACAGGCTACATCCCACACAATCACGCAAAACACACACAAACACTTTACACAAGGACACTACTTAGTCACTACACAAACACTCCAGCCAATACACTCTCCATACACACACTAAATACTATACATTATGATCCACAGTTCATAATCTTTCTCATCAAACTTCAACAACACGTACAGTATTGTGTACACACGCACTCAACACATTACATTTCCGGTCACGAAACACAAATTATCCCTGTACATGTTACACAATCACTACTGTATATACACAATGTACACACAACACATACACACTCATGTACGCACCACACATACACACTCATGTACACATAACACATACACACTCATGTACACAGTACATACACACTCATGTACACACAACACATACACACTCATGTACACACAACACATACACACTCATGTACACACAACACATACACACTCGTGTACACACAACACATACTCATGTACACACAATACATACACACTCATTTACACACAATACATACACACTCATGTACACACAGTACATACACACTCATGTACACACAACACATACACACTCATATACACACTACATCATGTACACAGTACATACACACACAGCTGCCTCTCGCTCCCCACTTTCATATTCACTCCGCCCACCCACACACACACACGTGAACACACACACACGTGAACACACAGCCCAAGCACATAGACTCCACACACACACACGTGAACACACAGCCCAAGCACATAGACTCCACACACACACACGTGAACACACAGCCCAAGCACATCGACTCCACACACACACACGTGAACACACAGCCCAAGCACATAGACTCCACACACACACACGTGAACACACAGCCCAAGCACATAGACTCCACACACACACACGTGAACACACAGCCCAAGCACATAGACTCCACACACACACGTGAACACACAGCCCAAGCACATAGACTCCACACACACACGTGAACACACAGCCCAAGCACATAGACTCCACACACACGTGAACACACAGCCCAAGCACATAGACTCCACACACACACACACACGTGAACACACAGCTCAAGCACATAGACTCCACACACACACGTGAACACACAGCCCAAGCACATAGACTCCACACACACGTGAACACACAGCCCAAGCACATAGACTCCACACACACACACGTGAACACACAGCCCAAGCACATAGACTCCACACACACACGTGAACACACAGCCCAAGCACATAGACTCCACACACACGTGAACACACAGTCCAAGCACATAGACTCCACACACACACGTGAACACACAGCCCAAGCACATAGACTCCACACACACACGTGAACACACAGCTCAAGCACATAGACTCCACACACACACACGTGAACACACAGCCCAAGCACATAGACTCCACACACACACGTGAACACACAGCCCAAGCACATAGACTCCACACACACACACGTGAACACACAGCCCAAGCACATAGACTCCACACACACACGTGAACACACAGCTCAAGCACATAGACTCCACACACACACACGTGAACACACAGCCCAAGCACATAGACTCCACACACACACGTGAACACACAGCCCAAGCACATAGACTCCACACACACACGTGAACACACAGCCCAAGCACATAGACTCCACACACACACACGTGAACACACAGCCCAAGCACATAGACTCCACACACACACGTGAACACACAGCCCAAGCACATAGACTCCACACACACACACGTGAACACACAGCCCAAGCACATAGACTCCACACACACGTGAACACACAGTCCAAGCACATAGACTCCACACACACACGTGAACACACAGCCCAAGCACATAGACTCCACACACACACACGTGAACACACAGCCCAAGCACATAGACTCCACACACACGTGAACACACAGCCCAAGCACATAGACTCCACACACACACACACACGTGAACACACAGCCCAAGCACATAGACTCCACACACACACACGTGAACACACAGCCCAAGCACATAGACTCCACACACACACGTGAACACAGCCCAAGCACATAGACTCCACACACACACACGTCAACACAC